GTCCTTTGGGCAAAGTTCTAAATTGCTCTTGAGAATGGTTGGATCAATTCATAACTCCTCTAACAGCGCATTAGTGTCCCAGTTTAACCACATCACCTCCAACATTTATCTTTTCCATTTCTGTCATATTAACCAATCTGATAGGTATGAGGTATACCTCAGAGTTGTTTTAATTTGTATTTCTCTAATCAATAGTGATTTAGAGCATTTTTTAAATATAGCTATAGATAGCTTTGATTTCTTTGCCTGAAAATTACCTGTTCATAGCCTTTGACCATTTGTCAATTGGGTAATGACTTGTATTCTTAGTAATTTTATTCAGTTCTCTATATATTTGGGAAATAAGGGCTTTATCAGAGATACTTGCTATAAAATTTTTCCCCTGGTTTTCTGCTTTCCTTCTAATTTTGTTTGTGCAAAACCAGTTTAATTTAATATAATCATAATTATCTATTTTACATTTCATAATTCTCTCTTTATCTTGTTTGGTCCTAAATTCTTCTCTTATCCATAGATTTGACAGGTATACTATTCTATGCTCCCCTAATCTGCTTACAGTATCACACTTTGTGTCTAAATCATGTACCCATTTTGACTGTATCTTGGTATCTGGTATGAGATGTTGGTCTGTACCTAGTTTCTGCCATACTGTTTTCCAGTTTTCCCAACAGTTTTTATCAAATAGTGAGTTCTTGTCCCGAAAGCTTGGATCTTTGGGTTTATCAAACACTAAAGTACTATGGTCATTTTCTGTTGTTTCTTGTGTACCTAATCTATTCCACTGATCCATCACTCTATTTCTTAGCCAGTACCAGATTGTTTTATGATAACTGATTTATATTACAGTTTGAGATCTGCTACCGCTAGTCCACCTTCCTTCCTTTTTTTAATTGATTCTCTTGATGTTCTTTATCTTTTATTCTTTTTTTAAAATTTTATTTATTTTTAGTTTTTAACATTCACTACCACAAGATTTTGACTTTCACATTTTCTCCCCATCTCTACCTTCCCCTCACCCCAGGACAGCATGCATTCTGATTACCCCTTCCCCCAATCTGCCTTCCTTTCTATCCCACCAC